CCCACACACACACACACACACACACACACACACACACACACACACACACAGAGCTGCAGCCAGCTCTCCGAAGGGCACGTTCCGGGTGGAGCCTCTTAGGGCACATGGGCTGCTGCTGTGGCGTCTCCGACTTTCTCTGCACGTGCTGGTACATAGATCGTGTGACCCCCATGTGTTGTGTGCAATTCAACTGTCCGCCAGGGGCAGGGATCCCTCCTTCTTCCCCCCACCCCGCGCCAGGGGCAGGATCCCTCCTTCTTCCCCCTCCCCCGCCGGGGACAGGGATCCCGCCTGCTCCCCCCAGTGGTGACTCGCACATGCCCCAGGCGGAGGCGCCTCACTGGTCCCCCCACAGACCGAGCCGCCGGCGCTGGCTGATGCTGCAGCAGGCCGGGGGCCGTGGCCGGGTCTGCGGCGCGCAGCGCCCCGTGTGGCCGGGTACTTACTGCGCAGCAGGACCCTGCCGAAGAGGCTCCGGTCCCGGTGCAGGGTGTTGCAGTTCCAGCGGTGCTGGCGGAACTGGTGCTGACACTCCGCCGTCCACTCCGCCACGCCCAGCCCGATGGAGCGCATGGCCTCGGGGTGCCGCTGGCACAGCTGCCGCTGCCGGCTCACCAAGCCCGGCACGTTGTCACACATCACCCGCGACGAGCCCACCGCCCCCATGTACCTGCGGGGAGCAAAGACGCACAGGCAGCGGGGGCGAGGAGTAGGGCCCGCGGGCGAGCGACGGTGCGTGTGGGGACAGGTTCAGCTAGGGGGGGAGGGGGCACGTATTGGGGGGGGGAGCTACTGGTGAGGGGGAGGATGAGCTGCGAGGAGGGCACTGACGGGAGATGGGCAGTTACTGTACTGGGAATGGGGAGCTGCTGGGGAGAGCACTGACTGGGAATGGGGAGCTGCTGGGGAGAGCACTGACTGGGAATGGGGAGCTAATTGGGGGGCATTGACTGAGGAGCGGGGCTGAGCTATTCGGGAGAACAGAATGGGACTCGTACAGGGAGATGTGCCCTGCCTGGCTGTTTGCCAGGAGCCAATGTTGCTTTCAGTGCTCTGTAAGGATCCCTCCACCTTCCTCTTATTTTCCTCGAACGAGCAAAGGCCGCAGACCGACTGGCTAAGTCGGTTCTTCCTGGGACTACATTCTGATCATCCTCTCTTCCAGAGTCCGTTTAATATAGAGTCTAATTTACAGCCGCATTTGCTTTTTTGGTAGAAATCCTTTCAAAATCGTTTGCCTGCCGTATATTCCTACCGAGGCTTTGGGAGAACCAAAAACTCCTTTATAGCGCCTTACTTTGTTTTTTGTCATTTTTTTCTTGAATGACATCATCATTTGTATCCAGATGTTCGCTATTAGCCCTGAAATGTTTAGAAAGGTATCTTTTATAAAACCCAAACCGCCATGGCTGTCTTTTGAAGCGATCAAACAGGAGCAAATGTCTTTTTGCTGTGTTTTCATTAGTTTATATGATCATCAAATCGTTAAAGCTGTTATTTGAAAAAAAATTATAGATATTCGGTAACAGATAAAAGACAACGTGACAAAAAGCCCTTGCAATAAATAATGTTTATGCACCTACGGAAACAGAAATAGCAATTGTATTGAAAAATGTCCAGTCTGATAAATCAACCTTTGATCCAGTGTCAGCCGTGTCAAGGTTAAATGCATTCTCTGGTCAGTATGTTTACAAGGGGAAGTTTAACTCCTCTTCTTCAGTGAGGTTTGTCTGTTTTGTTTTGTTTTAAGACTCCGTTTTCTGAAGAAAATCTCTGATTTAGGCTCCCCCTTAATTAGCCCTGTGTTTTGCAGCTCGCTTAGAAGGATCACAACCAGCTCAAATATCTTTTGAACTAGAAGCTGTGGTCCCTACAGGCTTCTCCACTATTCATTTAGAGGTTTTAGTTCAGCGATGAGAAACTTTTTTTTTTCTCCTGGAGGAGGGGCTGGAGGGAATCGAGGGTCTGAACAAAATTCTGCTCTAGACTATTCTGACAATTCATGTAAGGAATGAATATGGAGGGAAGGCAGTAAACAAACCACACGCTCTCTCTCTCTCTCACTTTGCCCTAGTACAAATTGCACCATGCCTCTTACTTTCATCGATTCCTTTGGCCACTGTGTTGTTACCCGAGAGATTTTCTGACAAGTTCATTTTCAGCTGCCATTTTACATGAAAAATAAGTAAATAAAAGAGCAAGGATATTCAATCAAGGAGAATTAATTAGATATATCCCTGAACTTGAACGATGCAAAAACTTGTTGCATGCCATAAGCAATATCGTCATACATTTCCTCCGATTCTTACATGGATTCTATAAATTGGTGATAGGAGCTCTGCGGGGCGTATTTTAATCAACCTCCAGCTGACTCTGCTGTTACTGTCCATGCTAAAAGCTCTGATCGGTCCTCAGATCAAAGAGTTCTCCTTAGACATGTTGTAAAACAGACGTTTAATTGTTAAGGATGAGTGGGAGCTGGGAGGGAAAAGAAAAGTTGAGAGAAGATGTAGGATAATTCGGATTGATTTAGGATTGGAGTTTTTGTATCTGAACAACCGGCAGCGATACATTTTTGTGTGATCACTAAAGGGGTGGGGGTGTCAATTCTTCTAGTTTACCATTAATTTATCCCACCTTACCCAAGAGCAAATAAACCCTTGTAATCGCAGAACTTACCACCACGAAGAAGTGACTTCTGGGGTTTCCCAGAACAAGATCAGTGGAACCGCAAACCAGATCCCAAAGCGAAAGTTCATATTAGAAACACTTCACTCCACATCAGTTCTAATGCGAAGGGCGGAGGAAATCCCATGGAACAAAAACTACTGACACCGAGCCAAATGCACCTTGAGGGCTTCTCTCCTCACTGGATCAAGAGTCTCACCATTCCCATGTCACGGTTGCCAGGGGTCAGATTTACTGATAAACTCTATAATGTGTCTGTGCAGAACTCCGGAGTCTGCTCAATTTGTCCAGAATCACATCCTCAAGGAGGGCAACAAGATCAATTCCGCTCTCATCCTTCTTCCTTGCCCTGATGCAGCTCTTCTGCGGTCAGAGCAAAGCTGAGGGGCTGGTGTGGGTTGCTTACAGACTGGGTGGGTTCTGCTTTTCTTTCTTTCTTAACTCTGATGGATGAAATGTCGTCAAGAGACATTGGAGGAGGTAACACCTCTGATTAGGGAAGGAATCCCGATGAGCCAGTTGCCTTCCAATAACCTTAAATCCAAACAGAGTTAGTTAAAACCTTACACAATTACCAAACACTGCACGGGATACGTTACTATTGAGAATACAGCAGTGAAGTCGCCAAACAACGGAAAATACTTAGCACTTCTCAATATTTGATATCAATATCTGACGTTTTATACAGTATTTCATTCACATATGTATATGGAATTATAGATACTGACGCGCCATATGAACCATGCAACTCGACTATAACATTATATATAAGAAACAGAAAATATTTCCATGATTTTGATTATTTTACTAATCTCAGCCCTAGGAAATTAGGAAGGGGAATTAAGTGCCCAAGGTGATTCTGTAAAAGAATAGAGACCGGGTGAAATGAAGAACACAATGCACGCAAGCACATTTAAGTATGAAAACTCGATACCATTTTATTTAACACGCTGAGGTCTTATTCGTGTAAATGTGATCCCGATTCCTAGCAAAGGAGCTTCCTCTTCTCACCTGACTTTTGGCCTGAACAGTCTACTCCAAATTGTAGCCCATTGACTGTGTGGCAAACTCTTCAGACCGACAGAGAACAACCGGTAAAAACAAACACATTGAAAATAGTCAGACAGCTCACATGACAGCGACTATGCTTCACAAGAACAACATCCATATTGCACACGTTTAGTATGTGAATTACTGTGCTTAGCTCCTTCAAGTGCCACCTGGAAACCAGACAACTGTCCGGATCAATTGTCTCTTTCAAATTACATTTAAAACTTTGCCCCAGACTAACAGATCATCTCTCACTAAATTGTTGTTGCAAAGCAATTTGGGGGTGTAGGTGTTCAAATACCATGTATTGAAAATCAAATTAAACTTCCCTAAGGGAGTGGGGCGACAGAGAGAACAAACGCTCTGAAAGGTGACTGGATTGCAGATTTAGGACCTGATCCAACTCCTGTTGCAGTCAATGGGAATTTTTCCATTGATTTCAGTGGAAGTTGGACCAGGTCCTAAGGCAGCCGGCTTGGGGCAGGCTGTTATCTAGAAGCTAGTGAGGCAGGGAAAAATCAAGCAAGCCCACTTCTCTCTAGGCTTGACGAGGCTACAGCATCTCGTCCAGGCTAGAGATGTCCTTCCCCGAAGCATCATTCCGGGTGAGAATCTACCGCACTAGATTAGAGGCCGCGGAACTGAAATAAGGGTTGGTCGCTGCCGTCCCAAAACAGGTTTATACCCGCCAGGACCAGTGCATTCGGCACCCATCTGCTCTCAGAGCGGGGGAAGCCCAAGCGATGCATGGTCCAGGGAAGGGTACCTCGGGCCTTACTACTAGCAGGATTTGTCATTTGGCTCAGCCAAAGGGGCAGGGGGCGATCACTCGTAGCTAGCCCAACAAGCCTGTGTCTCTAGCGAGCTGGAGCCGGGCAGAGATCGAGCCCGACCAAGATACTAGAGCTGGGAGCCCACAAGCAGAGAAACTCGGCGGGGATTTACAGAGACCAGAAAGTGAAGATGCTTCCCTGGAAGTTTGTATCCTCCAGGGAACTGGGGTGGGATTTGAAGACTTCCATATGGCAACTGTTAAGCAGAAACTGTGCTTTCCTTTCCCAGCGAGTACACCGAGAAATAGCGATAGAGAGGAAACCCTGTCCAGCTGCCAACCCAGCTTGGAGCAGCCCGACCCAGGGCAGACTGAACAAATCCGCAGCCCTCTGCGGTGACCCTGGCCAAGGGAGACGCAGTTCACCCGATCGGGAAGCAGAAGAAATGACCTCGCCTGAAACGGGCGGGCTGTGAAAGCCCCGTGGCTGATAACCCCAGTTCAGGAGAGACCACGGAAATTTTTTTAAATGTAAGAGAGAGAAAGGCAGAAGGCGGAACACATCAGACACAGGGAAAGACACAGCTGGGCAGGAGCCAGATTCCCTCCCCAGCCTGCTCCCTCAATCCAGACCACCCAGTCACCCTCGTGTTCCTGCTACCCAGCCACCCAACCACCATCCCCTACGCTTCTCCCACCGCCACCCCATCTGCTTGAACCCGCTGTTGCCCGGGAGTCGCCACTAGGAAAAAAAGGTGTTTTCTTACCACATGGTGCATGTGGTAAACTCCCGGTGAAGACAAGACAGGTGTTACAGTCTGACCATTGCTTGTCTCCTATTTCTTACCTGCCCCCCTTTCCTCAAGCCCTCTCCCTTAAAAAAAAAAGAAGAAGAAGAAGAAGGCGGTCTTTTTAGCTCGGGATTTGAGCCTAAGGGAGTAAAGCACCCACAATCCATTGCGTTTTAATGTGATTTGTGGACCTAAATTCGTAGGATCCTTTGAAATATGTTTTAAAATCGGTTTCCTGTTGTATAGGCTGGGGATGGTTTATAAGTAACATTTACTTTAGGGAAGCAATCCAGGCTGGTACACTAGGGCGTTCCAGGTTTGTGCCGGTACCATTTAGTGGCAGAGTTGACTTACCTTCTCCCAAGACTGTCCTGAGACTGAACTGGGACCATGTTCCCATGGGAGCCCTGCATATCACTGCTCCGGGGGCAGATCCTGAACTCAGGTACACCAGCATAAATCCCAATTCACTTCAGTGGAATTGCTTGTTTTCCACTAGTATAATGGGAAAAAAAGTGAGTTCCTGTCTTTATAGTGACAGTCACATCTCACTAAATGAATGATAGTACATGGTAGTGACAAACAAGCCAGGAGCTGCCCCTTTCTCTCATGCAGGATCTTATAGATGTGATAAACTATCTTGTCCTTTCATATTTGTATGGATAACATTCCAGAGCTAGGTACAGCATGTTACTGACTGCAGGCAGTCATCTTCAGTATGTTCGATTCAACGTTGTATAGGGACAGATTTCCCTAATCTTAATGAGAACCTTGAACACCGCTTTGGCCTTGGCTTCCCTTTGTGCAACTAAGTTTCCCTTTCTTTAGTTTGGTCCCATTTTGGCACTAGCACACACTAAAGAGAGATGGCCCACACTTCTGGGAAATAAAAAGGATTGGTTCAAACTTGATCATCTGCAAAAGGGACAAGTGTAGGACATGCTACACTTTGAGTTCGTAACTGTGGTATTCATAACTCTGAGGTTCTACTGCAAATGTTTCAGAGAAAAACAGTGATGTTAAAGCAAGTCTATTGCGGAGGACTGATGTCCTGAAGGGATTTGCCGTGGGAGATGGAGTCTTTCTCATCCAGATAGCTGGTTAAATCCAGTCCCCTTTGCTTGTAACTTGAAGTCATTAGAGTCTGAAGACTGTTTGGTGGCCCCATTAGTGTGAGTTGAGTTGTTTATGTCACAAAGCCATCTTAATAACTTACCCTGATTTCAATCCCAACTGAGAGTCCTGGAAAATGAACTATCCCTCTCTGCTCTACACCTGGTCAGTCCAGTCCAGGGTTAAGGACAGGGGTGGCTCCAGGCACCAGCGAAGCAAGCACGTGCCTGGGGTGGCATGACGCAGGGGGCAGCGTGCCGGTTGCTGTGAGGTCAGCAGTCAGGCCGCCTTTGGTTGCGTGCCTGCGGGAGGTCTGCTGGTCCCGCGGCTTTGGCGGCAATTCGGCGGCGGGTACGACGAAGCCGCGAGACTGGCAGATCACCCGCAAAAACGCTGCCAAATCCGCATGACCAGCGGACTGCCCGCAGGCGTGCCACCGAAGGCCGTCTGACTGCCATGCTTGGGGTGGCAAAAAACATAGGGCCACCCCTGGTTAAGGAACATTTGTGGGGCAGGGAAGGGAAGCCATTGTGATAGCTTCAGTATTCTGGGCTATCGATTAACACTTTTGCTGAATGCTAGATTCATTTATTTAAAATGCAAATTATTGCGGCTCTAGGTGCATAATGCATAATCGAATTTAAACTCAGCAAACATAGTACTTTGGAACACCAAATATAGGGTATGATGAATTTACTACTATGAATACTTTTGATTATTTAGGAGCTAAACAAGCATTTTAAAAATCAAACCTGGCCATTGTAGCACTGCAATGAATTGTAGCATGACACTGTGATTTATGAAAAAGCCCATCTCAAATAAACAAACATCCTCCTCCTCAGCAGTCTGAATTCTTCAGATCACAAACAAATTAGTAGGTCAGGTATAAGATTTAATAGTTCAGAAGGAAATGCTCATTTTGCATTTCATTTCCCTCCAACTGAAAGGAACAGCCAGAAACCTGATATAGCACAGCTTGGATTTCAAAATTACTGACACAAAGTAACATTAGAGAGAGCTTTTGGAGTGTATAGGCTCCATTTATCCACACTGAGAAGTTATGAATGACACACTATTGGTTCCACCAGTAGGCAGCCTCCATATTTCCAGATATATAAAACTTGCTTCAGATGCATAGGGAGAGAGCATGAATGATGGTGTAAAGATGGGAGGGGGGGAGAAAAGGAGGGTGAGTGAGGTAATCCCTGGCAGAGTGAAGGGATAAGGAAGCAAAAAGAAACAATATCCAGGATGTAGAGAAGGCAAAGCTAGGCAGGACCTGCAAGTGCAGATGAGCAGGCTAATCTTCAGTGGGCAAAGCAGTGGCAGCTTCGGGATCCAGAAAGAGTAGTGACATGATCAGATTAAATGAGCAAGGGGGAAATTATCAGCAGTATTTTAGGCAGACTGGAGAGAAGCAATATTAATTAAGCCAGCAATGAGGTGAAAATCAGGCAGCCAGTAGGACAATCCTCCCTTTCAAATCCCTTTTCCCCAGAAAGCCCATCTATACCACAGTCCAGGTGAACAACTAGGGAAGATTGTGGAGAGGGGTAATCTTTTCTGTCCTCCATGGAACCTAGAACTGTCTCAAACAGCAATAACCCATAGTTTAAAGATACTGCATAAGTGTTCTGGCACGCTACAAGCGTTTGTTAGTTTAACTGACAAAAATAAATGGATTAGAATGGAAGATCTGAGGACACTGACACTAAATGCAATGGAGAATGGTGGTGTCAAAAACTACTTCTGAAAATTGTTAAA